ACTTTTCATCTCAACCCATCTTGGCCCGTCAAAATTCAATATGAAAACCTTGAATTTCACTGTGATGCACCTTAAAACAAAAACCTTCTTCTTCCTCGTCACATGGAACCCCACCAGGAACTAACTTTGCAGTAGATTCAAATGGATCTGTAACATCGAAAGACACAAGTTCACCCTTGAAAGTCAAGGCGTAAAATTGATTTTTGTAGTACACGACGTCGTCAAGTGGTGCCGGCTTTACACCAGTAACACGAGTCCATGTGTTGTTTTTAGCAGGTCTAATGTAAGCCAAGCAGCAATATTCTCCAAATATCACCACGATTACTATATCTTTCGGATTTGTTACCGGATCAGGTGTAATTGTTGTCATTTTAAACACATAAATTTCGCGGCATCTAGCAGTATGCTCCAATCCATCCTCAGGAGGGAACAAAGGAGGAAGCTGAATAGTCATGTTTTCGATATTCTCCGAAAAGGGTTTGTAAAGTGTTACGGCTAAATTCTCATCAAGAGTGACTAGCCATCCTTCAGAACAACCACCGAAAGGTCTGTCATATGGAGGAAGTGATAGCTTCGTGGTCAAAAACTTGTCATCCAAGACACTGTAAATACTCCATGCATCATTCTCTTCACTTTCAGTACTGATGGGAACCAGCAGCATTGGAATCTGATGATGACTCAGACTCACACCTTTACTTTGGTTATCCATTGCTATAGAGTGCCACGAGACACAAACTGAATTGAATTGAAAATAATCTGATAGAGATGGCCTCGTTCACTTCGTTGATTCGAGTTTAGAATTCGAGTTGAGATGTGATTTTATGTGAGAACATTATACTGTAGCAAAAAAATTAGATGTGATTGTTTGTGAGAGCTTTTTACTGAAAAAAAACTCAAATTTTAAACTCGAATTAGCGAAGTGAACGGGACCAAACTTTTTCAAAACTGAGTCTAACAAGTATTGTGGCAATTGCGTCCAATCTGAAAAGATAAAAGCAAAAGAGATTGGCATAACGTTTTTTCTTGTTTTTTTTTTCTTTTGTGATAAAAACTATGTAGTAAATCAACAGAAAAGATGAACAAACATAAAAATTCCAAAAAGTAAATAAACAAGAAAAATGCAGATAATAATAATAATAATAATACGACTAGAAACTGCAATTATCAGGTCATACTATTGTTCTGATACAAATCAAAGGCAAAAAATATGTGTAATTCAATCCTACACCGATATAAACAAGACGGGATAACAACAACAACAACAATAATAATAATAATATAAGTGTTTAATCCTCTCCGGCATATAGAGTAAAAACCATCGTTTCTTTTCCCTAAATAAGCAAAAGATTTAAGCGTTGTTGTGTGCTAGTTTCATACGAGACGAAGCAAGCAAGTGTAAGTAAATCACGATTTCCCAGTGTAAGTAATTTAGTATGAAACCATATTAAAATAGACAAAATTAGAGTACAAATAAGTCCAAAATTAATAAATAAATATAAAAAAATAATAATTAATAAATAAAATCAGTTTTTTTACTGTCAGATCAAAAATATGAACTGATCACAGTTTTTTTTTTTCCCTCTCTGCTTTTCTCTCTTTTTTCTAAAGCGGGTCCACTATTCCCTCTCTTTCCTTCTCTCTTTCTCAGACAGCTCTCTCTCTTCTCAGGCGGGCCCACCACTCCCCACTCCCTCTCTCTCTTTCTCTCTTTCCCAGCGCTCTCTCTCGACGAAAAATCAGCGCCAGGAAAAATAAAAGAAAAAAAACGCCAACAAAACGTTTCGTTGGCACCTCCCAGAAAACCCATTCAGCTTTAGGGATTTGGTATAGACTATAGATCCGCCTCGTTTACTTCGCGGATTCAAGTTTTCAATTCGAGTTGAGATGTAAAATTTTCTGAGAGTTTTTTACTGTAATAAAAAAAATTAGATGAGACATTTTATGAGAATTTTTTACTGTAAAAACTTAAAATTGAAAACTCGAATCAGTAAAATGAACGAAGATAACACAATTCCTAATTCAATTTGTCGTAGGTCAAGGAAAAAAGTCTCGCGAGGATTTTTCCCAAAGTTCTTTGTTTTTAGTCAATGTCCATCATTTTAACCTTTGTTTCATGGATTCATGTGCTTGTCTTTATTTTTTTAAGATCCGTTTAGCAGGGGATGTAAATCAGGTTAGTTTTAGTTTTAAAATTAAAATCATGATTTATAATTTGAATTGTGCTTTGATTTTGAACTATATGAATTAAAATTAAGAGTTTGAATCTCTTAAAAGGGGAGAAGTGGTTTTATTTTTTAAAATGATTCTAATTTAAAACATTAAATTAAAATTTAAATCTTAAATTAGAATCATTTAAATTTTAAATCAAATAATAATTTTATTAAGCTGAGTTCAAACCACTTTTTATTTTTTACAAATAAACACTACTTTAAACTAAAACTATGGTTCTAATTCTAGAACCTTTCGTACCGGGCCTTCGTTAAATCAATGTAACACGTTATGACAATTCTGGTTGAGCAATGAACGTTATCTGTAGCTGCTGTTGAGTATGAAGTAGATAACAGAATTGTACTAACGTTGACTTTCCTCTCCAGTTATGTGAATTGTTTAAGATTTTTTTTTGGACTGAATATCAGTGTTTTTATGTAAGTCTTGCTTATTATTAATGAACATGCTTGCGTTGTTCCATACTTTTTTTTTTTTTTTTGTCATAAAAATAACGGTCGATGATTTCCCTGTTATGGACTGAAAATGTACAACATGACTGTTTTTCTAACCATTTACAATAGTTGAGAACAAATTTCTAAAGATAAAGACTTCAATTGATCCTCAGGTGCCCATATTTCAAAGATGTAATTACATAAAATGCCTACTTTAAATGCTTTATTTGTAAAAATATCTACTACTATACAATATTATAAGAATGCTGATTTGTGTTTTATTAGGCAATTTTTATTCCAGTTTTGCCCATATTGTATATTTTAGGCATGTGTTATATATGGTTAGTTGTTATCTTTTTTAGTCTGATTGTAATTTAAATATTTTCCTTTCATTTTTACTTTAATTGATTTTCTTAAGCAATCATGTTGATTTATCCTTGATTTTTACTTTAATTGATTGTTGCGATAGTCATTGCCATTTCCACGGTTGCATACAATCTTCTTTTCTGACGAAAACAACCATTTCCACAGACGCAAAGGGTATGCCGATTCCTTCTTTTGTTTTGGTTTCTTTTTTCTTTTGTTTGTCTTCCTGTTCGGATTTCATTTTTCTTCATTTATTCCTTTTTTTTGCTTCATTTATTCGAATTTTAATGGTTCTTTAAATATTCTTTTGTTGCTAATTTCTTGTTTTGCATTTTTCTTCATTTTTCATTGCATGAGTGCGTTTTAATTTTTCATTATTTTTGCTAATGTTTTTCTTTATTTGATTGTTTCTACTGGATTTTTCTTTCATTTTTTTGTGATTTTATTTCATTATGTTCTATTTATTATTTTAGAGAAAATATCTTTGGTCTGTTCATTATTTTTGAGAAAATAATACTCTTTATGTACATTTTTTTTACGTTTCTTCTTTATATGGATTTTTTTTTTCTTTTTCACATGGTATGATCATGTTTCCTATTCAGTGTCATGCTTTTTTTTTTGGGTGATTTTTCATGAGTGTTATTTCCCATTTGTTTGCTCTCCATCTTCATTATTATTTCATCATTTTTTTAATGAAAATACTCATTTTTTTCCCATTTCATTTTTCTTCATTTGTTTGGTTTTGTTTTTTCTTCACGTGTTCAGATTTCAATGGTTGTTTACATGTTCTTTTGTTATTACTGTCATTTCATTTTCTTCATTTGTTAATACTATCAAATATTTTCTTTATATTCATATTTTCTTGTGAGGTTTTATGTTTCTTTTTTTAAAATTTTTTCTTTTTATAGTCTGATGATATTTCTTATTTATTGTAATGCTTTTTGAAGATATTACTTATTGTTTTGCTTTTTATTTTTATTATGATCTAATAATTATTTTAGTGAGTATTTATTCTTTCTGTACATATTTTTTAGTTAGATTTTTTATTTTTTCTTTATTAGACTTTTTATTTTTTCATTACAGTCAGTTTATTTTTCTTCTTTAATTTTTATTATTTCTTTGAATAATATAATTTTTTGTTTTGCATTTTCTATTCTTTATAGTCTGAAAATTATTTTAATGAAAATATTAATTATTTCTGTACATATTTTATGGACTTTTAAGGTTTTTGACCCTTTTTTGTCGTGGGCTTTTTTTTTTTTTTTTTTGTTTAAATAAAAGGGTTGACTTCTCACTGGACAATTTCATTAAAATGCAATTGTTGTGGTTTTATGGTAATTTACTTTTTTATATTAAAAATTTATAATGTTTAATGTTCAGATTTTGTCTCACTTTTCATACTTTTTTTATGGTTTAATTATTTCTGTCCTTTTTCATTATACAAGGATAAAAATGTCTTTATATATATGATAGAAAATAATTTTGTAAATAAATGAGAACGTACGCATTATTAAAAATAAAGTTCTCAAGATCTGCATTTATATATAAATCACCCAATTTCAAAACAATTTCCCCAATTTCAAAACAATTTCTCGCAATTTTCACTTCCAAAATCTAAGCTCACATGATCCACAAGTCTCTTCTATGGCATCTCATCTCATCACATCACTTGCCCTATCTCCCTTAAAGTGACCCTGTTCATTTCACCGATTTGAGTTTAGAATTCGAGTTTTGTTACAGTAAAAAATTTTCAAAAACAGTCATATTTAATTTTTTTATTACAGTAAAAAATTCTCACACAAAATCATATCTCAACTCGAATTAACGAACTAAACGGCCTCTAATTTCCTATCCATCTTTGCCTTCCTGGGTCCCAACAAAACCAGTTGACTTCGGCTCAATCAACTCGCCATTCTTCTAAGCCTCGCTAAGAAAAATCGTATCTATATGTAAAAGAACATCAATATGTCTGAGCTCAAGAACAAGAAAATCCTTGAACATTTTTTTTTATAAGAAGAAAATCCTTGAACATTAATCAAACTGTTCTTCTTTCTTCTACCATTAGGTAGCCAGGATCACATCACAAAATTCCTGGACGTTATTGTCATTCGTAGTCCTCTAAATACTAACTTCCAAACAGTGGTTCAAAATCAGCAAACAATTACAAATAATTCAGTGAGACACACGACAATATCCAAACCAAATATTGTTCCCAACTCAGTTAAGTTCATATTCTCTGAGTCCACAAACTTGTTAGACTCATCATCTTCCTCAGAGAAATCAGAGCCAAAATCACAAGCCATAATAAGTTTAAATCTACCCTCCTCTTCCCCAAGTTAAGCACTATTCTTCTTCTCACCTCCAAAATCTTGACAACCATCGTCGTCCACACAGTCTCTTCTACGGCATCTCATCTCATCATTTTCTCTCTCCCTCTCAAAGTTTACCAATTCCTTATCCACTTTTGCCGTCCTGGAGCTCAGCAAAACTAACTCAGCCAACTTCCTTCTCGCAAAATACAAATCATTAGGCTCAACCAACTCGCCCCTCCTGTAAGCCTCCCTAAGAAAAACCGTATGCATCTTTCCATAATTTCCTCTAGTCGAAATATAGAATACACCCTGATGCTGGAGAAGAAAGTCCTTAAGCTTCTTCGGCAAATTCATCGCCATCCTAAAATGTGCAATCCTCTCCAACGTAATCTTCTTCTCAACGGTCAAATTCAGCAGCTCGTGGATTGTGGCAACCGCCCTCTTCTCCATCCGCTTCTGCGCCTCAATCGACCTCAAATCATACCCCGAAACATCCTCATAAGGGGACCAATAAGGAACCCTCTGCCATTTCCACACAGCAATTCTGTAATACTTGCCAATCTTAAATCCGGGCGGAAAATTCACAATGAACGAAAACCTAATATCCTCAGCATCAGCTCCTTTTTCTCTGTATTCTCTCTCCCTAAGTTTCTCTATAGCACAAACAGTCAAGCTCGGATCTTTTTCACTTTCAACATACTCAATGTACTTATTCCTAGTTTCTTTAGCATCAACCAATCGAAAATACTGAGGGTACTTAAGAATTACCGAGTGCTCGAAATCGTCCGGGAGCCCAAATTCCCTCCTCGCAATTCGCACGTGCTCGAGTCGAAGCCTGCCATTGTTGGACATCATCAGAAGCTTCCGGAGACGGGTGACGGCTCCGGGGATTTGGGCATAAAGGGCCTGCCTTTCTCGCTCGATTTGGAGGTGGGCTTTTCGGGCTAATCGGCAATAGAGGATTCGCTGAACCGGGTGCTCGTAAATCTCGAAAACGTGAGGAAATTTTAGCATGAAAGCCCCTGCTTCGTCCTGTTTGAATCCGAGGGGGCGAGCGAGGAAATCGAGGCGCGAGACTGGGATGGTCTCATTGCGTTGGGAGAGAATGAGACTCTGAAACTTGAGGATTTTTCGCGTCTTCTTCTCGATTTCCATGTAGTTGTCGAAGCCATGGTCTCGGACTCTCTGCAACTTTTTAGGTATGGAGGTCGACTTCGACATGGGTCTTATGGAAACGAGGCCATAGAGGACGAATTTCAAGGGGGGTGTGAAGATTCCGCGTTTTGATTTGAAGAAATTGGTGGCTTTGGCTAAGAAGATGATCATTTTTTTGATTCTGGAATATGGGTTTCGGGGGTTTTGGCATTCAGAGATTTAGTTGAATGGTTAAGTTCGCAAAAAGGGTTAAAGAAAACGCCGGAGAACGAGGTTTATTGGGGATGTGGAGAACACAGTATAGAAACTCTTTTCGGCTTATTATTATTATTATTAAAAATATATAAATAAAAAAAAGAAAACAAACAAACAAACAAAAAAACATCCCCTTTTCCTTTGAATTAAAATCACATCAATTGCCGCGTTTCTCAAAAAATTTAAATTTTAAATGTGAGAAAAAAAAATAATAGTTTGAGTGTTCTTTCTAAACATATCATAAATATTCTATTATTCTGTTAACTTGCTAAGTAATTTATAAATAGCTTTTCAAAGATGCCATTTATGTTTCAAAGGTACTGAAAATTTTTTTTTTCAAAGTTCTTTTTGTACCTTAAAGTTGTTTGTAGTTTATTTTATGTTTCATGATGAATTTATTTGTATGACTTTTTGGGTATATTCATTTGACTTAAGTTGTATATATGAGAGAAAAATACTATAATAAAAAAATTAAATTTAAATTTTTATAAGAGAAAATACTATAACAATATGATTTGAGTCATGAAATGAACAAAACCTTTATTTTTTTTATATCTTTAAGAATTTTATTATTTATATTAGGATAGAAGTTGTTTTTCTAAACTTTAGCAAAAATATACGAGAAAAAGGTTACGAACTTCACAATATTGTTGTTATTATTTTATTACACAAGAAAATGAGATTTTGATTAATCGATAACTTCATGAATTATATGTTTTAATGAAGTTCTCAAGCTGAGGATATCAATCTCTATTGTAACAATTAAAGAACTATCTACCTAGCGAAGGTGTATATTAGACAAATAAAAGGTGTTCACATACAATATCACTTTAAGCGAAAAAGTATTGATAAAAAGAGGAGATATTACTTTAAAAAGATTTCAATTATTAAGGTCACGTTCATTTAATTGATTTGTTTAGAATTTGAGTTTTGTTACAATAAAAAGGTCTTAAAAACGATCACATTTAACTTTTTTGTTACAGTAAAAAGCTATTATAAAAAGTTACATCTCAACTTAAATTAAAAATTTAAATTAACGAACTAAACGGACCCTAAGAATACTACATATATGATGACTCTGGCATGAAACGATCACGTTCAAACACTACTTGAACTTGATCAATGTTTTATAGCCCGACCACCTTCGGGTGTATGTCTTTTGGGCGTATTTGGAGCCTTGAGAGCGTTGTTAAAGATAACTTAATTTTTTTTATAGAATCTGTTTAATCGAGAAGTTAAGTGAGATAGTTAAACTCATTACTCAAGGTGGATATTTGTTATAAATTAGCTTGTTTTTCTAGAGCCCCACTTCAAATTTGAATGACATGTGGTAGGCACGTGATCCATTGTAAAAGGAGCTTGCCACCATCCCGGTTAGAGCATCAAACAAGTTTTTTTTATTCAAGGTTATAAAATATCACATGAATAAAAAAGATTTAAGAAAAATAAGATATAGTTTCAGAAACAACTAATGAGAATCCTGTAGGTACAATGACAAAGATGATGAAACGATCAAGTCCGAAGATTTAAATGGACAAACTCGTCAAGGTGGCATGAAATGTGAATATTTAGCATGTGGTTGGCACATAGCTCATTACAAAAGAGCCTGCCACATTCTTCGTTGAAGCATCCAAATATTTTATCGGCTTTTTGTTTAAGGTTGTAAAGAAATTCTCTATTTTACTATTTGCTAGATTAAATATTGTTAGTATGTGGTGTCCAGGCAAGCTCAATAAAAAGAGAACTCCACAAATGATCTTTGAAATTTACTTTAAATCTCATTTTAGTCTTACTTTTTAAATGTCTTATAATTAATTTATGAGATTTTATTTTATTTCAATTTCGATAATTATATTAGCTAAGTGTTAAATTTATTTGACGGAATATGTAGAAATTATAGACTAAATTGAAAACATTTAAAGTCTAGGAGACTAAAACCAAAAAAAAAAAAAAGAGTATAGTATTTGATTAAAAGAGTATTAATCAAGAGTGATGGATACGATTTTGACTAATATAATATTTGATTAATACGATTTTGACTAATACGATTTGTCCTTTATTCTTGATTAATACGATTTTGACTAATATAGTATTTGATTAAAAGAGTATTAATCAAGAGTGATGGATAAAAATAAGACCCGTATTGCCGTGCAATCTAAAGAAGTAGTGGAGTACTTGTCTCCTTTTCCCATATAAAAGACAATTTTTTTTATCATCGTGCGTGTCTTTGCTTTTTTAAAGTTTAATTGGGTTTTAATTTTCTAATTAATTTTTAAAATCTCTTAATCAGGTGCACCACATCAACAATTCCAACTAAGCGAGTGCATACGGGTTGATGTTTTGTTAATTATAATATGACTTTTTACTAAAAGATTGGCTCAAATTAAATTAGGCAGTTGTTGCGTAATTCCGCAAGTGCACGGATCGTACAAGTAATAAAGTGTACCAGAGTACATATATCATTCCCACAGAGATTGTACTTAGTTTGTGTTAAATGTCGAAATTAAATTAGTTCTAAAATTATTTGAACAACCGATTACCAAGACAAAGAAAATAACTAAATCTAAAATGAAGAAAATTAAATAACTAAAGAAAACTAATAAAATACTCTAGGGATTCAATTTCACCTAATTAATACAAGCCGAAATCCCTTAAACTCTCCAAAAGCCCCTCCCAGTAGTCAATCAGAAATATCCTACATCAATTAATAAACTATATTCCTATGATTATCAATTAATTATGATTCATTAGGTTCTCGAATTTCGTTAGTGGCTACATAATCCTAGAAGGTATATTCCTATCCCCATGATTGGCCTAGCACGCTGATGGTTACCGAATCGAATTCGGATGCGGAAGCGTGGGGGAGGCGGATCGTGTATAACAAAAATTTTCATAAAACTTTTGAGATACTCTATAGATTATATTAAAAACTCAATTACGAATAATACCTGGAGGCCGATTAGGATGATAACTTGAGTTCTTTGAGCTCGAACAATCCTTGCTCCAAAGCTTTGTGTTTAGAAAACCAATGTCTTCCACGTCAATTTCTAGAATCTACGAAGACGTGTGTGTGGGCACACCTGAGATAAAACGGGTTAGAATAAACACTTAAATTTCCACAAACACCAACGCATGCACGATGTGGAATTTTTAGAGAAAAATTTTGCCTTCCCTCATTAAGATAATTTTGGCCATAATACAATATTAGGTCAAAAAAATTGTTCAAAAATTGTCTTGCGCAATTTTCTATCATTATCTTATTTATAGAGTAGAAGTCAAACTTCTAGAAGGAATTCAATCTCTATCTTCAAGATAAAGCTTGTTAATTATCTCCTATTTGAATTTGAAACAAAATCTCATCTTTTCCTTTATCCATTATGGCCGGCCAAGATATGGGATTTTATCCCTGTATAGGCACCAATATGAAATAGGGAAGGAAGAGAAAATCATCCTTTATCCTGTAGTCCAATTTTGACTCAAATTCAAATTCCAATTTAAGTCAAACTTAAATTAATTTGAATTTTAAATTGAACAACTTATCAAATAATTTTAAATGGATAAATCTAGATGTGTTCAAATTCAAATTTAAAAAATTACATTATTTAAATAATAATTAATTCTCAATTAATTATTTTTGAGTGTTTAATTTTAGAATTCCGTAATTCTAAAATTTCCATTTTGCCCTTTGTGTCTTATAGAATTACTAGGACGCGCGGGGACTAATGGACCTATAATCCCGAGCTCCAATAAAATTAATAATTAATTAAACGCTTTAATTAATTAATTAATTCTATTAATTCCAATAGTTACTTCACTATAAACTTGGAATTGCACTCTCGAAATTATAAACATAAATTACTTCTAAATTGTGAAGTGTCCATTTGATATAGTCACTGCATATAGATCAATCCTCCATAAATAATTCATAATTAGAGCTAGGTAAGATCCGTTAACCTCTCTAATTACATATTTATCCTTGAGTACCATTGATTCTCTAATGGACAGTGATTCATAAAACACACTCATGAATTGGAGCTCCTACTGGTCTAAGTACCGAATTAACCCTCAAGAGAATTAATTATCTACTTCTTTCTCAAGAAGGAATGGATTCCATCTCTTATAATAACATTCCCGGCTACCTACTTCATCATGTCTCCAAAATACAAGGAATAAGATTCAGGATCTCAGAATCCGTACCGAGTAAATCAAAAGACACAAATCCATAAATAGGAGTCTGTTAAGAACTCATGATTAAGATCATTCTATATATGACCATCGGTAGACTCAATTAGAATTTCTATACTTAACATAAATTATTAGAAATTCATATTGTGTCTGTGTCCTTGTTCCACATAATCTCATTATGCGAAATACACTCATTCAATATCTCACCATATTAATAGTGCGAATAACACCGTTCCATTCTAAATGGGAATGACATGTATTAATAATGGTTTAATTAAAGATTCCGAACTTTAATTAAATTCATTATGAACAATATTTTTGATTATTATCTTTAAACATTATCCTCTCGTATATAACACTTATATACAATGCTTAAGGTTACATAAATAATCATGGAATTTTCATTGATATTCATAAAATATTCACAAATATATACACATAAAATGATGAATAAACTCTTTTATTAAATAAATAATAAATATCCATTACATCTTATGCTTCTAGGACACCATTCCCAACACACGCAAATCCACCTTCCGGTAGCAATCTTGGCTTCCTAATCAACTAATTGGTGATCAATCAACTAAAGGCATTAAATCACATAGAGTAATTATCTAACATAATTTAGACAACACAATTAATTTGAATAAATGAAAAATCAAAGCAACACAAATCAGGGAATATTGAAACCCTAGAACAAGAAAAATCAAACCATAATCACAAATAAAAATAAAAAACACCAATAATCAAGCATTTTTAGAAATTATAAAAATAAAGAGAATAAAGATGGGAAACAAATCACCAAATGGAGGTGTCACAAACTCCAAAACCTCTTCTTTAAATCTTCATCTTCCTCCTTTTTGAAGCTCCAAAATGCCCTCTTCAATGGTGTTTACAAAATAAAATTACCTAAATTTAAAACTAAAAATAACTCCAAAAAATAAAATTCTACAACTCTAAAAATAATTTTTTTTTCTTTTTCTTCATTTCTCTCATCCCCTCTTGTTCTCTGTGGCTACTCGTCTGAGGGCTGATAAGAGTTCCTCATCACCACGTCCAAATTGCCTTTAATTACACGCACAAAGGAGAGAAGAAACCTGGACAAGTGGCAACGCCGGATTGGGAGCAAGGAGATAGTGGGAGACAAGCTCGCCATGTGGCACGGAGAGAATGGCTGGAGCAGTCATTTTGTCTGTCTGAAACTCACGGAGAGGAGAGTGAATCACACATACGCATTTGATGCGTTGGTGGTGCGGATCTGACGGCTACAAAAGCGAATTCTACTAGTTTTTCAACCTCCAGATTGGGCTTTGTTTGGTCCGAATTCTATTTTTTGTTTCTTTACATTTTGACCATCTCAAAAGTTTTTAATTAAGCCCACCTGTCACCAAATTCATTACATAAATGAGGAAACTAATTATTTTGGAAGGGAAACTAAAATAAAAATTATTAAAACTAAACTAAATAGACTAAAATAAAATAAAATAAATCTAAAATGAGAAGTATACATTAAAATTTAAAATAAAGTTAAATGTTAACGGTGTTTTTCTGACAACTCATAATTATCTCTCCAGAAACACTCGCGGTAACGCTCACGGTTCAATTAGAGATTGCAAACTGAAAAATAATGTAAAGGAGACAATGATTTTATAGTGGTTCGACAATAACTCTTTGCCTAATTCACTTGTGAATGTACTAATATCTCAGCAGATTACAAGCTCTTTTAGAGTAATGAAATGGTGCGTAACCCTTTTTTTGGGTTTTCTTGGCTCTATTTATAGGCCTTTACATATGATCATGCCTTCTCCGTTCCCAAGGAGGAAGCCATCTTCCGTCCTCGATTTGCGGGAGGGTAGGTGAGTTTTCATGATGACAACCTCAGGAAATGCAGCTGATCCCTCTCATATGCCGCCTGATTTCCTGACTCCTGCAGTAGCAGTTGGACCAGTACTTCCTTCCCCGAGTTGACAAGACTGTGGCTGGATTTGACTGGACTGCTTCCGGTCTGATCTAATTCCTGACTCCTAGACACAAAGGCTTCAAAGGGCTTTTAGTAGACTTCTCGACTTCAACGATGCAAAGGCCTTAAGAGGACCTTAAGCACTTCTCGACTCCAACACCTTGATTCCTCGACGCAGAGGCTTCAAAGGGCTTTTAGTAGACTTCTCGACTTCAACGACGCAAAGGCCTTAAGAAGACCTTAAGCACTTCTTGACTCCAACACCCTGACTCTAAGAGCGCTCCTCAACCTAGAGACATCTCCCTAGCTGTTAGTTCTCGACGTCAGGGATTTGTCCTGACTTTCAGAGCTCTCGACGCGTACGACAAAAGTGGGTGGCTTGAATGGTCGACCATGGTGTAACATAAAATAATATAAAATAAGTTAAAATATCAAAAATTAGTCATTTTAAATGCACACAAATAGTGAAATAACTATTTTTTTCTTTTATTACAACTTTTGATATCTCTTGTATCGAAACATTTAAAGAGTGCTAGCTATGTAATATGAGCACTAGTTAAAGTTGAAGTTTATGAGATAATATAATTTTTTTAGAAGGCAAAGGATAATGAAGCCCCTTGGGGTGGGTATTTTTTGGATTTTTAATATTTTTTTTCCTCCTGTTTTGGTTCACCGAGATTTCGATCAATTTCATTAATGAGGAGTGTTACATACTCGAACCATATGCATCACTGTACATATATATATTTGAAAATGCTAAATACCCTTTTGAAATTCTTATTTTAGTATGAACCGTCCATGACTACACGTATGTATGCGTCACAATATATGCTAACATAATTATATTTTTCTTTTGAAGGAGATAATGATAAAAGCTTAATGTTTTTAAATAAATAGATAAAAGCTTAATATTGTTGATAAAGGATTTTTTTTTTGTATGTGTTGTAAAGTCGAAAAAGAAAAGAGAAATTGTATTAGGATTCCGCTTTTTATTATCAAATTTCACTAGGATTTTAATAAAAATTTTATCAGGATTGCACGTTACACGATTATAAATAGGGTAAACCCCTTCGAATAGTAAAAGCAGTACTAGCAACACTTTAAAAAAAAAAAAAAAAAATCGCGGGAGGGCAAATGGATTCAGGTATATTAAATAAATTTTCTGGTTTTTATATAATATTTTCCTAGTATTTGTGATCTTTTCCTAGTATTTGTGATCCTTAACGAAGCATTCCCCAGCTGTTAAGAGTGGGAAAAATTTTCTTGTTGTACTACGTACGATTTCTAGTTAATTAAGAATTTAGTGGCTATAATTTCAAATCAAGTTCAATCTTCAAAGTGATATTTTGTTTTGAATTTGCAGTCTTATATCTTAATATAATGAACAAGGTGCAAAACTTATGGTTTTGTCGAGTTAATTGTCAAGAATATTATGATCGAATACATATAGTTGCATGCATGCGTGTTATTCAATTTTGTTGTTATTGTGGTTGTTGCCCACTTCTAACTTCTAATTTGGAATAATAGAGCAAGTCTATTGAAGATTGTAAGGTTCAATTTTGAAATTTTATGTTCGGTTAACTTATTATCTTATCATTTCATATCTTTCAGATTGGGCAGGTTTACCAAGACACCTTTTAGACCAATTTTTGGAGAAGTTGGAGAAGCTAACGGATTATTTGTCATTTAGTTCTATTTGTCTCTCGTGGCGATCTGCAGTAACGGATAACCATAACAGAAGTAAACTTATCGAGTTGAGTCGTCATCAGGTTCCGATGCTTTTGGTCCCCATTAAAAGCAAAGAAGATGATGAATGGAACATGTATAGCGTCTTGAATGGCAAGTTCTCAATGCGAAAGCTATTTCTTCCCCCATATGATAAGCCTTTCGGCGGTTCTTCAGAAGGATGGCTAGTTACTCTTGATGAGAGTTTAGCAGTAACACTTTACAAACCTTTTGTGGAGGGTAACTGAAAACCATTCATACACCTTCCTCCTGTGTTTCCTCCGGATAACATACTAGAAGCACCTGATCGTGAATTTCAGGTATTTAAGGTTGCATCATATACACCTAACCCAACAACGGATCCGGATGATGTAATTCTTGCAGTAATATTTGGAGAGTATGCAGAATTAGCTTATATTAGACCGACTAGAGACACTACGTGGACTCGTGTTACTGGGTTGGGCATTAAAACATTTGATGACATTGTGTATTACAAGGGTCAATTTTATGCCTTGTCTTACGAGGGAGAGCTTGTGTCTTTCGATGTTACAAACCCATCTAAGTCAAATATGAGGTTAGTTTTGGCAGAGGATTCTGATAAATATTATTTTGTTAAAGGAGGATTTTGTTACAAAAAATACCTGGTGAAATCGTATGGAGGAGAGCTTCTGCTGGTTTGAAGGTATTTAGATCGGCGTTTTGGTGATATCGATCGCGTCACGAAAACTTTTAAAGTTTTCAAATTGAGTTTTGATGGACCGAGGTGGATTGAGATGGAAAGTTTAGGTGATATGGCTTTGTTTGTAGGCGACAACGCCTCCACATCCGTCTCTGCTTCAAACTTTCCTGGGTGTTTGAAGAATTGCATCTACTTTACTCATGACAAGAATACTATTCCAATTGGTAAGTTTTTTTAGGAATACTACTTAGTTATTCTTGTCGTATTCTTTATTAATCTTGTCGTATAAGCTTCTTATTAAGCTTACTACTTGTGTATATATAAGCTTGACTTCTATTATTCCAGAGTAATGAGAATATAATTTTCCTCTCTGCCCAAATCGTTTTTCAGAGCGATTTTCATTTTTCTTATGCTGATTTTCTCAATTCTTTTCGTGATTTTCTCTGATTCTTCCCGGTCATTCGAATTTGTTTGTTCTGTTTTTTGATCGGAATCTATGGCTACTCAATTTCCTGATTCTTTTCTCTCGTCAAACGGCAAATCCGCCATTGATGATCCTTCGAGTTCGTTCTTCCTTCATCATTCTGATGGTCCAGGACTTGTACTGGTGTCTCAACTTCTCACTGGTGATAATTACGCTTCTTGGAGCAGAGCTATGCTACTTGCCCTTTCTGTCAAGAACAAGCTAGGGTTTCTTGACGGATCTATCGAGAAACCGGATGGTTCAGATCCGATTCTTCTTCATTCATGGAATCGCAACAACAATCTTGTGATCTCATGGATTCTGAACTCGGTTTCTAAAGAAATTTCAGCTAGCATCATATTTTCTGAGTCGGCTACTGAAATTTGGCTCGATCTCAAGGACAGGTTTTCACAGAGCAATGGACCGCGCATTTTTCAATTGCGTTGAGAGTTCGTCACTTTGGCTCAAGATCAACAATCGGTTAGTGTTTATTTCACGAAACTGAAAGCTTTATGGGAAGAATTGAGCAATTTCAGGCCAGTCTGCTCGTGTGGAAAGTGCTCTTGTGGTGGTGTCAAGGCACTTCATAATCACTATCAAATGGAATATGTAATCTCTTTTCTTATGGGACTTAATGAGTCGTTTGCTCAAGTGCGAGGCCAAGTGTTACTGATGGATCCTCTTCTGGCCATAAACAAGGTTTTTTCCTTGATTTCACAAGAGGAACGTCACAAGAATGTGAGCTCACAACTTTTTTCAACCGGCGATTTGAGTCATTCCATGGCATTTATGGCAAAGAATGATTCTTTTGTCAAGCCTGGTAATGGTCCTTCCTTTTCAGTCGCTGGCAACAAGAATCAAAGGAAAGATCGCCCCTTTTGTACTCACTGTAATTACCATGTCCATACTATTGACAAATGTTACAAATTACATGGCTATCCTTCCGGTTTTAGGCAACGGCAGAAGCCTACATCACATGCCACTCAACCTGGTGTTGTGAATCAAGTTTCTAATCACATGGTTGCTGGAAGTTCTGATTGCCAGAATGGAAATGATGGGAATCCTATTCCAAATATGACCAGTGCACAATGTCAGCAACTAATGGCCTTACTCTCCAGCCAATTGAGTTCTGTTCGTGCTCATGATTCTCCCATTGATCCCTCATCTTCATTTGTAACAGGTACTTGTTTCTCTGTGTCAATGTCTCCCGCTTTATCTTCTCCATTGTTATGGATTGTTGACTCAGGGGATTCACGACATATTTGCTTCAATGCTCATGATTTTATCTCTATGAGACCGTTGAAAAATTCCACAGTGACTTTGCCTAATCGAACTTCCATACCTGTTCATTATTCTGGTGATGTTAGACTCAGTCCAACTTTGTTGCTTCAGGGTGTTCTGTTTGTCCTTCAGTTCACCTTTAACTTGATTTCCGTTAGTGCCATTACCACTGCCTCTATGCTTACACTTGGTTTCTTTCCTGATCATTTCATGATTCAGGAAATGTACAGCAAGAGGATGATTGGCAAGGGTAGAAAGCTTGAAGGTTTATATGTTTTTGACATGACAAATACAGATGTTGCATTAAAGCACAATCACTCTATAGCATACACTAATAATGTGTCGGTAGATACTTGGCATCATAGACTAGGTCATTTGTCCAATAAATGCTTAGACATGTTGAAAGGTCAACTGTCTTATACCAATTTTCGTTTTGATGCTATGACTCCATGTTACATATGTCCTTTAGCTAAGCAAAGGAAGTTATCTTTTGTATCTCACAATAATATGTCAAAGTTCCCTTTTGACTTAATACATTGTGATATTTGGGGTCCATACAACTTGTCCTCTTATTCAGGCCATCGATATTTCTTAACTTTAGTGGATGATTGCACTCGTTTTACTTGGGTTTTTTTGCTCAAACATAAAAATGATGTTTCTGTGGCCATACCTAGATTTTTCAACCTTATTGCTACTTAGTTTGATAAGAAAATCAAAGAGTTCAGATCAGACAATGCGAAGGAGCTGGCTTTTACTAATTTTTTTTAGTAATGAAGGTGTTATTCATCAGTTTTCTTGTGTAGAAAGGCCACAACAAAATTCTGTTGTTGAACGGAAGCATCAACATTTGTTGAATGTGGCGCGAGCATTATATTTTCAGTCTCGGGTCTCCATTACTTTTTGGACTGATTGTGTTCTCACCGCCACTTTTCTCATCAACCGAACTCCTTCTCTTGTTCTAGGAAACATGACTCCGTATGAGCTTTTGTATCATAAGAAGGTTGATTATTCCCTTCTTCATGTCTTTGGTTGTCTTGCGTTTGCTTCCACACTAACAGCTAACCGTACCAAGTTTTAGCCTCGTGCTCGTATCTGTGTATTTCTTGGATATCCTCCTGGCATGAAAGCTTATAAGCTTTATGATGTTCAGTCTAAACAGATTTTCATTTCACGGGATATTGTGTTTCATGAAACAGTTTTTCCTTTTCATTCTGTTGTTACAACGAATGAATTAGTCGACCCGTTTCCTGATTTGGTTCTGCCTACCCCTGTTCATGATCCTATAGAAACATCCCAGCCTCCTCTAGTTGCTACTTATCCACCGGATCCACAAAATCTGCCTGCACTTCCTCTCCGACGTTTAGCCAGGACAGTCCAGCCACCTTCATACTTGTGGGATTTTCACTGCAACTTGGCTTCTCATTCCTCTAAGCTGCCATTGGCTAAGGTTCTTTATCCCTTGTCTACTTGTCTTTCATATGACAACCTTTCTCCTGTTCACAAGCATTTTGTCCTCAATGTTTCTTCTCAGTTTGAACCACAGTATTATCATCAGGCTGTTAAATTTCCTCAGTGGCGTGAGGCCATGCAAGCAGAATTGGATGCTATGGTTTCTAATCACACATGGTCCGTTGTTCCTTTACCAATTGGAAAACATACCATTGGCTGTAGATGGATTTTCAAGGTTAAATACAAGTCTGATGGATCTATTGACAAGCACAAGGCTCGTATAGTTGCTAAAGGCTACACGCAGCAGGAAGGGGTTGATTATGCTGAAACCTTTTCTCTGGTTGCTAAGTTGGTTACGGTCAAAGTTCTCTTGGCTCTTGCGGCTTGTCAAAACTGGGATTTGGTTCAACTTGATGTTAACAATGTGTTTCTTAATGGTGATCTTTTTGAAGAAGTTTATATGGATCTGCCCTTAGGCTATCATAGTTAGGGGGAGTCTTTTGGGAACAATAGGAAAATGGTTTGCAAGCTTCACAAGTCTATATATGGACTTAAACAAGCTTCGCGTCAATGGTATTCAAAATTTTCTCACTCGCTGCTTCAGTTTGGTTTCACACAGTCTAAAGCGGATTATTCCTTGTTTACAAAAGGAACCGGATCTTCCTTCCTTGCGTTGCTAGTGTATGTTGATGATATCATCATCACCGGACCATCGAAGTCTAGCATAGCTACTTTGAAACAATTTCTCCACAGTCAATTCAAGTTGAAAGATCTTGGTTCATTAAAATACTTTCTTGGTCTTGAAATTGCTAGGTCTTCCACGCCCTGCAACTTTTGGAAGATGTTGGTTTTCTTGCTTGCAAACCTGCGGCAGTTCCTATGGATCCTCGCATTCATCTCACTGCTACGGATGGTGATGAGTTGCCTGATGCCTCTTCTTATCGTCGTCTTATTGGCCAGTTATTGTATCTTACCTTGTCGAGACCGGATATCACTTTTGTCGTACAAAAGTTGAGTCAGTTTCTTGCTCAACCTCGGGCTCCTCATCTTCATGCTGCGCACCATCTTCTTCGGTATCTTAAAACTAGACCTGGTCAAGGTTTGTTTTTCTCTGCTTCCTCATTGTTGCAGCTCAAAGCTTTTTCTGATGCGGATTGGGGATCATGTGTTGATACCAGGCGTTCTGTCACTGGTTACTGTGTCTTCTTGGGTGATTCTCTTGTGTCTTGGAAAGCCAAGCGGCAACCCACTGTTTCTAGGTCCTCGGCTGAAGCTGAATATCGTGCCATGGCTGCTACCACTAGCGAATTGGTATGGTTGAGGCAATTGCTGCAGGACTTTGGTGTTTCATTGGCTGCTCCTATGCTTCTGTTTTGTGATAATCAAGCTGCTGTCCACATTGCTTCGAATCCCACTTTTCATGAGCGGACTAAGCATATCGAGATTGATTGTCATTTTGTTCGTCACAAGGTTGCTGATGGCTTCATCAAGCTCATGCCTGTTCGTTCTAATTCACAGCTTGCCGATATGTTCACCAAACCATTGCCTTCTACTATTTTGTTTCCTCATTTATCCAAGATGGCTGTGAAAGATATTCACTGTCCATCTTGAGAGAGAGTTTTAGGAATACTACTTAGTTATTCTTGTCGTATTCTTTATTAATCTTGTCGTATAAGCTTCTTATTAAGCTTACTACTTGTGTATATATAAGCTTGACTTCTATTATTCCAGAGTAATGAGAATATAATTTTCCTCTCTGCTCAAATCGTTTTTTTTCCGTAATAAGTTTGGTCCTTGCGATTTGGGTGTCTACAATCTTGAAACTAGACGTGTTACACTACGTTTTACCATTGACGATGCAGCCTTCCCTAAAATGCGTGGACGAGCACCGATTTGGGTTTTGCCTACCTATATTAGCGATTGATACAGATTTTTTCAAATCTTTGTTTTTTTAAGAATTTGATGCCAACACCTTTTAAAGGTAGTTTATTTTTTTTTTCTTTTTTTGTCTAATGTAAACAGCATGTTTTCATTTTTTGGACTTGTTTCTTTTTTTTCTCTCTCTCTCTTTTCATATGCACTCCATTAATTCGTTTTCCTATAACGAAGACTGAAGTATCTTAAATCCTTGTATAATTATTTCGTTCGTAGCTAGTG